TGTTCATGAAAGCTGGCAAAGAGATGATAAATAAGCACATAAAAAGTTGTTGCTCATTAGCCATTAGAGAAATGCAGATTAAAGCTATAATAAGGTCTCACAGACTTTTTTTTTTTTTTTGAGACAAGAAATTTGGGGGTTTTTGTTCGTTTGTTTTTCTTGTGTTTTCTGAAATGGATCTCAAAGAAAGGTAGCCCAAGGATGCTTCGAATTCACTATGTAACCCAAGCTGGCCTGGAACTCCTTCTTCACCTCCTGGGTGCTGGGATTATAGGTATGCACCACCATGCCTGGTCAATGACTACAATTAAAAATAGCAATACCAAAAACAAACAAACAAACAAAAAACTAGCAACACCATCAAATGCTCTAAGGTGTGGAGAAAATGAATCACTCCCACTTTGATGGTGGAAATATAAAACGGCACAGTGTGAAAAAGTTTGGCAATTTCTTTTAAAAAACTACCTATAACACCTTTAATTTTTATAACAACTTTAATTTTTTTTAGGGTTTTTTTGTTTTGTTTTTTTTTTGTACAGGGATTGAACTCGGGATTTTGCGCTTGCAAGGCAGGCAGCAGAACCACTGAGCTAAATCCCTGGCCCTTTTGGGGTTTTTTTGAAACTGAGTCTCACTAAGTAAGCAAGCCCATAGTGGCCTTAAATTCACCACATAGGCCAGGTTGGCCTCAAACTTGTAGTGATTCTCCTGTCTCAGCCTCCCAAGTGCTGGGATTACAGGCATTCACCATCAGGCCCAGAAGCAGTTTTTTTTTGTTTTTGTTTTTGTTTTTTGAAACAGTATTATTTATAAAAATTCAAAACTGGAAACAATATGCATGTCCTCAATGGGTCAGCAAACTGATTTATCCCTATCTTGGAATACTATTACTCAGCAATTAAAGGAAGCAACTAGGAGTAGGAATGTAGCTTTGAGGTCGGGCACTTTGGTTCAATCCCCAGCACCAGAAAGGAAAGAGCTATTGTCACGCACAACTTCAATGATATTCCAGAAACTTTAGCTGAGTGAAAAGAGCCAGTTCAAGCCAAATGCTAATGGCACACTTGTAATCACAAATCTGAGCCCGGCCTGGGAAACTTAGCAACGTAATGAGATCCTGTCTCAAAATAAAAAATGTTAAAAGGACTAGGGATTATAACTCAGTGTGAAGGCCCTGAGTTCAATCTTCCATTACTGCACACACAAAAAGAAGCCAATTAAAAATGGCTGATTTTTTTTTTTTTTCTGGTACTGGGGATCGAACATAGGACCTTGAGTTTTCAAGGCAGTCATGGCTCCACTGAGCCAAATCCCCAGCCCTGGTTGAATAAATTCTTGAAATGACAAAATTATAAAAATGAAGACAAGCCAGGGATTTAGCTCAGTGGTTCCACTGCCTGCCTTGCAAGCACAAGGACCCAAGTTCGATCCTTGATACCCCCCCAACCAAAAAAATGAAGACTAGATTAGTGGCTGTCAGGTGGGGGCAGGAAGGAGGTAGCTGAGGTTATAAAAGGGCAAAATGAGGGATCCTGGGGGTGATGGAAATGGTCTGCATCTTGACCTTATTCATCTCCAAATCCTGATTGTGCTATTCTACAATCTACTTTTTCAAGGTGTTACCACTGGGAGAAGCTGGAGACGAAGTACACCATATTTTTCCACATTGTTACAATTGCATGTGACTCTACGGTTGTCTCAAAATAAAGAGTTTAATTTTAAAAATTATGATGCAAGTGCTTAGCATTTAACCTCAATGCCATGATCTCAAACTGGTTTTATACATCATACTCGACACAGCCCCAGAGCATGGCCGACCATAGCTGCCCCTCCCCACCAAGTGTTCAGATCGGAGACAACTGCGTCTCACTGTGCTTGGGAAGCTGCTGGGCCTCCTTCTACACAGTCACCACAGCGTCCTGCTCTGCCTGGAATTAGTCCATAGCTCTGTCTTCAGATTTGTTCTCTGAGGTGACAAAAATGTGTCCATATTCGTAATGATAAACCTGAACAGAAATTCACTTTACTAGAAGTTCAATCCTTCCTCCTACCTCTCCTTTTCAGAATTATGACGAAATACACATAAAATGTACGGCGCTCCATTTCTAGCAAACAATCTGGTAGTGTTAAGAAGACTCACATGTGTTGTGCAATCCGATCTCCAGAACTCTGTTCATTTTGCACAACCTGAAACTCTAAACTCATTAAACAACAGTTCTTCGTTTCCCTTTTCCCCTAGCCCAGAGACCGAGTGCCCAAACTGCCACCCAAACTGCTTTTATTTATCAGAAAGAACCAAGACGGCAATTAAACCTGAATACTGAGGTTTCCTTTTTTTTTTTTTTTTTTTGTATCAGGGATCAAACGCTGGTCCTTGCATTTGCAAGGCAGGCAGCGGAACCACTGAGCTAAATCCCCGCTCCTGGTTTCAGTTTTTTAAAAAACAACTCATACATTAACATTTTTTTGTCTTAAAAGGAAAACACAATAACATGGGTGGGATAGGTTCGCCATCACTGCCCTAGCCTTTGGCAACCCCGATTCTACTTTTGGTCTCTATGAATTTGACTACCCTAAGCACCTCATGTAAGTGTACCTTACATATACTGTCACTGGCCTATTTCGCTTACCATAATGTCATCCAGTTCATCCATTGTTTGTTTGTTTGTTTTTTGGTACCAGGGATCGAACTCGGGTCCTTGTGCTTGCGAGGCAGGTGGCAGAACCACTGAGCTAAATCCCTGACCCCAGTTCATCCATATTGTAGCATATTTCAGAACTTCTTTTTCTCAGGCTGAATAGTATTTCATCGTCTGGATGAACCTTTTGTTTATCCCTTCATTCAATGGTGAACACTTCAGTTGTTTCTCTATTCTTTTTAAATTTGAAACTGAAATGCCTACATAAATTTATAAATAAATAAACGTTTTTTAAAATGCTTAGGTACCAGTAAATTCTGCGGTATCATGACTTTGGCCTGTCGTGTATCTGCTGATTTGGGAAATAAAATGGCCGCCACTTGATGACCAGTTAGTATTCAGGGGTGGGAGGACATGAAGGAAAGAGAGGCAGTAAAGGGTAGCTCCAGGCTGGTGACTGAGGGCATGATCCAGCCCCTGGGAGAGAGAATACAGAAAGAGAGACTATTCAAGGGGAAGATGAAGGCTTAGAAGGTCTCCAGGGGTGCCCTTATAGAGCTGAACAGGGTGCAGCTGATGAGAAGCAATCGAGCTTGAGACAAACACAGATTCAGGAGCCAACAAAGAGCTGGTTGTTGAAACCATGAGAGCAGAGTTCCTAGCAGAGATTATGAGCTCAGTGTCATATTCAGAGAGTCATTGTACCGGGATTAGATCTGAAAAGTACATATCCTACTAGGAATGATATGGTCCCTAGTGGCTTCACTGGGTATAGTTTCAGTGGCAGGGTAGCTATAGAAGCCAGCTTGAGAGAGAAGTGGGGACAAAGCAGACTTCTCCCAAGATGGGCACGTAGCACACTCTTGTAATCCCAGCACTCTGGGAGGCTGAGGCAGGAGGATTGCAAGTTCAAGCCCAGCCTGCGCAATTTGGCAACTTAGTGAGACCTTGCTTCAAAATAAAAATAAAAGACTTGGGAAGTAGCTCAGTGCAAAGCCACTCAGTCCGATCCCCAGTATTACCCCCCGACAAGGTGTCACAAACATGAAGCCTGTGTTGCTCTCATGGCAGGATTATAGTTCTGTGACTCTGACCATGGAGTAGCTTGTCCTCTGCCAGCATTCCAGAACTACAGCTGGCAAAGCTTAGTGAATATCTCAGCCCCTTGCTGGTTCTTCCAGTAGTTAGGGGCCAGGATGTTGATGCGTATTCTGATGGTCTCTGTCTTCTCAAAAGGGGGGCAGAGAAAAAGGGCAGCTTGAGGGAAGAATGATCAGTGAGCAGGATATGGGTGAGCGCGAGACAGGAGAGAACACTACAGGTCAGATCTAAAGGTGAACCCAAGTGTCCTGGGCTGGAAAGCCGGGAACAAGGGAATCTGGGTTAGTGATGAAGCGATAGCTCCGATGATGACCCAGGGGCTGCCTGGAAAGAGAAGGAAACTTCAGAGAAAGGGCCGATGGGGTAGGCGAGACTGCAGGTCCCCTGAGGAGCTCCAACCAGGCAGATGGGCAGGAGGCACTGGTCTGAGGGGCATCGCCTCAGGCACTGAAGAGAGACCCAACCATGGACACGCTGGGGGCCAACTCACAGGCAAAGACTGGGCCATGGTGGGTCTGAATTTGTAGGTTTGAAGATGGAAAGTTGGAGAAATAACTAGTCATTCCCTTTCTCCCCCTGAAGGAGGAAGGAAGACCAAGGGAAAAGGGCATTCTGAGCTGGGAGAGCGGGTCTGAGATCCTGTAAACCACACAGAGTGCATGACATTGTCCAGATCAGGGTATTATCTGCCGTGGTTTTGACAAGTGAAGACCACAAAGATTGAAATGCAAGGCTCAAAGCCATAGATTCCAAGTTGTGCCCGTCGGCAGGGGAGTGAGCTGCAGGAGTCTCTGTTTGGCAGTAGAGGAAATGGCTGGCCCAGTGACTCTGCCCTGCAGGGATCCTGACCTGGGCCACAGCAGGCAAGGTAGAACAGGCTCTGAGAGACTCACTCCTGATCACAGCACGGGCCCTGGGAGCATTCTGGGAGCCTCACAATCCCACAAAACCCCTAGCTGCCCCAGAACTGTCTCTTCACCTGGGACAGGAGGCCCGGTCCACTCAGCCTTCCACACGCGGGACAGCTGGGGATCTGGACTGGATAGGACAGCCGTTGCCCATTCCCCACAGCCAGGGAGGGCTCTGCCTCCCCGGCACTGTGTCTGAGGTACCCCGGCACTTCCTGGTGCTGAGCCCTGCTGGACCTCGCAGGCCACTCTGCTGCTCGGCTGACCCGGTTGGCCCCCTTTTTCAAAAGGGATGAGCCGTCGGACTTCTTTGGTAGTCACCAAATGGAGGATGACAGGCCCAGCCGCTTACCCCAGCAGACTCCCTAGTCACCCTGAGTCTGAGCTGTATGTGTGTGTCCGCCTCCATTGTCCTGGTCTCTCCAGCTGTTGTAGTGACTGGTCCCTCACCTGAGGCTCCACACCGGACCCTCGGCGCCACAGCCCAAACCCACAGGTCTGACGGACCTGCCCGGGGAGCCCTGCAAGTCGCCCACCTGCTTATGACGTCAAAAAGCCAGGTCCGGGTGTGCGCAGTGTCCCTGGACAGCGCACGGTGGCCCCGCACCGCACGAGCACTGCGTCCTGCCCAGCCCAGGGTGCCTGCGTCCGGGAAGTGGATTCGGCCGGTGCGCAGCTGTCTAAGTCCCCCAGCAGGGTGCAGCCCTCGAGGTCTCCCCGGACCCGGGGTGACACTCTGGCCGCGGGACCTGCCCTATCCCCGAGGTGCGGTG